ACTCACAGACAACAAGTGAATTTTGAATTGTTTGAGAAAAAGTTGCAGAGACGTCAAGAAAAAGGATTTCAAACTGTTCAAATGGAGAAACCTAGGATGGAGGTTTCTCATTTCTGTCATCTGCAAAAAGAACTACTTCCAGAATCAATCAAGTGAGTACACACCTAGACAAAACATTCTGCCTATGGAAAAGCCATCTTTGCAGGCTCTCAGTTTCTCCTTGCTATTTCAATTATATACGACAATGCCAACATTTTAACAGGTGTAGTTTTAAGATGCAATCTAATTTATGCATGGTATGATCAACACATCAGAACAGATGCTACAGGCATATTTGTACAAAAAGTCATAATGGTATTTCCTAAAGTCCTGGATAATTATATTATCACTGGCAGAGAGTTTATTTCTGTTTCCAGTGATGCCAGCAAGAACTCTGCCTGAGTAAGTGTGCACATACACATTTCCAGGAAGGTTGCATAGGTAGATGTATATATATAACAAGAAGATCCCATGTAATCCCTGTTTAAGTAGCTTTCAATTACCTTCTTTTATTTCCAACAGTGTTATTCAAACTTGTGGGTTTTGGTTTGGTGGTTTTTTGTTACTTCTCCATTCTAACGCCAGTCAGCATTTCACAAATACAAATCAGCACATCTTATTGACATTAAATTTTTCTAAATTCTGTGACTATTAATGTACAATTATTTACAATTGTCTGTACATGCTCAAAATAACACTCACATGGAAAGTCAGTTACTTCTTTTTGCTACTTTAGCACTTGAGAAGAAAGGGAGAAAATAGGTGTATAAGCAAGCTGGGTACCTAACTCCTGTAAGACCTTTGTAAGCAGCATTGTTTCTGAAAGTAGGATATTTTTATTTATAATAGTTACAGACTATTGGTATAGAGCACACAAAGATGTCTCAAAAGGAAGATATGTAATGACAATACTTAAAGGACACCAAAGCTCCTTCTTCAATTACGTAAGTGTTAAGTCATCAGCTGCACAATGCTTTTTCTGCAGCATAAACACACATTATTTTATAAGAAGGCCACATTAAAGTCATCCATCTAAAATTTTAAAAAACCCTTTGCACTCACAAAGAAAAATAATCTTGGCTGGTAAACAGTATATAAACATTATAGTTTCATAGAAACCTTCACGAAAAACTTGGAAAAATGTCTAAAAGAGGAACTCATTAATTAGCCTATCACTCCTGTCACATGATAACCTAATCACCTAACAAGATTTACAAAAGGAATTTATGGATCCTCCAGCTGATGTATGGGCGATAAGCATTTATTTGTATATGAAAGGCTAGGAATTCTTTTATTCTTTTAAAGCAGAACAAATGTATCTTTAATGGCTTGTACACTTGTGAAAGGTGTACAAAACTTTCAGAATGCATCAAAATACTATATTTTTTCAATCTCTAATGATATAAATCCACATATAAATCTATATATTATATACTAATCAACCTTGTAAAAGGAACGATGATGGTCATCACATGATGTTCCTACTTCATAGCACATGGAAAAAAAAAGAGCTATAAAAAAAAAGGCAGAAAACTTCTGCTTTGTTCACTGTTATGATATATTAAGAGACACTTTTATACCAGTATAGTTGCAGTCCTACACATGGAGATGAAGATTTTATAAGCTGGTGCCTAAGATCGGGTATCTATTCCACCTTTGTTTATGTGGCTCCTCCTGATATATAATAGCTATGGAAGAGTTTTCTGTTGTATTTTGCTTATTCACAAGGAAGATTCACTTAACACCTGAAGAACTAGGGAGATCATGACAAGATTAGCACTCGGGAAGAAAAACCTAAATCACAGAGAGATTTTTAGACTGTTGAAAAACATTTAATTATTTTACTTTAGCATTTCTTTAGCAAACCTGCAGAAAACAATTTTGAGGAAGGTGCTCAATTTAAAAAAAAGCACCATTTGCTTCTTCATGTAAGAGCATGACACTAAAACTGGATCTCCATAGTCAAAATTAATACAATGTTGTAATAAAAGTAGTTTTACTGAATACACAAGGGTAGCTTACACTGCAGAAATCTGTTCAGTGTCAGTAAATTGTTCAAATATGACCCAGAAAAGTATTTCACTTCTATTACTCTGAAATGGTACTTCAGCAAAACCAAGAATTCAACAATTGCTGCTATTGATCTTTCTAAGATTAAAATCAAGAAATGTGAAAGACCAAACAGCTCAAGCTCACAAACTTTCATTAGCAAAAAAAAAAGGAAAAAAAATTCAACCCCTTTTTTTTTAATATATCACCCTTAGATACAATTAAAAAAATTATTTCTACCTTACATTTAACAAATAAACTATCTTAATTTTTTGTAACATGTGTAAGAGACTGACAAAGTAAAATTCATCTTCAACGAAATAAATCACAGAAGTACCATTAACTGCACCAGACTGCTAAACCATAATTTCATTTGGTACTAGGGGTATTAGTTAATTACTTTCAGGCAGGAGAATTACAAGTACGATTAAAGCAAAGTTAGGCATTATTCTCACTGTGGAGTAGAACAGTACTTTAAGTATGATATTGGAGAACCAGGTCACAAGAGAAAGTTACAAGTTTGTAAGCCTTTGAAGTCAGAACTGCTGGAATTACAAATGAAGGTCAATGTATTATAAATCCATCAAAACAGAAGGATTCTTTGCAAATGGATAAATAAACTGAAATGAAAATGTTTTATGTTACAAATCAGTAGTATTTTCCCTAAAATTAATGGTTGAAATTTATAAGCCTTATATTGTCAGTTCAGATCATCATCCAAACTCTGAAATTATGATGTTAGGTGCTTCACTCAGGTACACAGTACAATACCTGTTTGGCCTGGAGGAATATATTTTCTGCTTTAGTTTATAAAATTACCCTTATAAAAGTGTGTCCCAAAATGGTATAGCCGATTAAATTGAATTTAATAAATCTGATCTGGAGCCATGTATTTTCTTAGGTGAAAATAACCCCAAACAGTAAAAAAATCTTCAGAGATTATATTTCTGTAAGTGATAACAATTTGGTAGTCATACTCAAAAATCATGGTGTGATATAAACATTCTGCCAATTCTAAGTCACAACGTAACTGTGATTAGTAAATAAAAATTAACAGCACCATTATTATTTTTTTACAGAGGTACACTGTGAAGTTTAATGCAACATATTTTCTAAAGGTGATTTTAGATCTACCTGTGTATGACATTATTACTATAAATTATAGTAATATCTAGCTCTTACATAATGTTTTTCTAGTTGTAGCTTTCATATGACTCCAATATGATTAGCTCGTAGAGATACGAAATATTACTGGGAATTATTATTCAAGTTCCTCATAGTTATGATACAGAAAATGAAAAAAAAATTTTCTTCCTTCTTCTATTTCAGTGTCTTATAGGACACTGTTTTTAACAGAAATTCCTTATAACACATTACAGTTGTGTCATATATTGCTCTTTAAGGGTTTTGCTCTAATAAAAGCACTCATATTACAGTGAATAGTGCTTCTAAAAATAGTTTAACAGAAAAAAAAAATTATAACAACTTGATGATGACTGTTACAGAAAGTGAGAGGGAACAACTGCCTTGTGCACTACTGCTTTGAGCTTCCATCCTAATACCAACAAAAGTGGTTAGACATTTCTAAATACACTAAGTTTGGGTTTTTCTTCCTTCTGCCAAACAACACAAATTTACAAGTAGGAAAAACTGCTTTTGGCCAAAATTATTTTTTATGATCATAACAACTGCATGCATCTATTACTTCCAAAGCATAGTAGGGTTCACACATCGAAATACCATCTTCACAAACAAAACAACATTCCCATTTCACCTAAGTTCTATTTAAAAATCTGCCTTAGCCTCCACAGACACTGTACTTTCATATCCAAAACACTACACAGTCTCATTTAAAAATTATTCCCTACCTAAAAATACATCAGCCGCCATATTTTATTTCACTGAGAACTAAAAACACAATACAAACTTTTCAAATTGCCAGAAAAAAAATATATCCAGACTAAAAATTACTATATTAAGCAATATCAAAAGATATGTGCACTTCAAGCATGGTCTAAAAGGTTACTAGTAAGTCCTCTCCTACTGAATTTCTACAGAGTAACTGGAAAGACATGGAGAGTTTAACATAGGGCAGTTAGACCTGTTTATGTTGTTTCTGTTCTTTTAGTGTATTTCAGACCCATTCACTTGTTTTATACATCTTTTAGCTCCAGACACCTTGGGAGAAACACGCTTTTTTTCATAGTTAAGCTACCTGAACACATCTTTCTTGGGTAAACCTCAAGACACTTTACAAGTCTGGGTTGGTTTGGGATAATCCAAAGGCACAGCTGAAGTGCTGCACAGTCTAATTCATAGAGCACAAACCAGTTGCTCATCTGTCTCTTCCTTCCTACACATGCACACAGGCATGTACGTTTGAAAACTGGTATCGAGTCTGCTAACTTTTTCAGGAATTAATTGGGGGGGAAGAGGGTTAGAAATGGTTTATTGTGCAGCACCACAAACACCTGCAATACAACCAGTATTATCACTTAATTGTAATCTGGAAGAAATTTTATTCTTCTAGGAGCAAAAACTATATACAGAAGGAGCCATATCTTGAGTGCTGCTCATTAAAAAAGTAATTTGTTAAATCCCTAACTATACACTACTGCTCAATGCACAAAGCATTTGTGTTAGCCTCTCTGAAATGATTGGTTCAAGACTTTAGAGAAATAACAGGTCAAGTTGATTCTACTGTTTTGATGTAAGAGAAATTATTTTACTACATATAGCACCTAGAGAATTAATTAACCAAATCTTCTTACCACCTGTCTCTTAGAATGAAATGACCACATAAGGTCTTTAGCAAAGAACAAATCCCAGGGAATTAAGTCTTGAACTCATAATGCATTAGAAATAGAACAGCTTCCTTTCCCACTGCCCATGTTCAATGAATTTGTACTCACCCTCTGAGTGATGCCTTTTCCATCTTTGATTTGTACTGCCAATCCCAGATCAGATAGTCTGCAGTTACCATTATCATCCAGGAGGACGTTTTCTGGTTTCATGTCCCGGTACACGATCTTGATGGAATGGAGATGCAGAATCCCACAGGTGATCTGAGCTGAGTAATAGATGACCCTGCTCATCTCCAAACCCCTTTCTCCCACATTGTAGATGTGATACTTCAGATCCCCTCCATTCATGAGGCTCATGACAAGACACAGATGGGTTTTGCTCTCATAAGCATAAGCTAGTGTGACTATGAAAGGGCTGTTGACCTTCTCCAGGATCTCTTTCTCCAGTAATGCCATCTTCTCTCCACCTTTCTTTTTCAACCTTTTCTTATCCAGTTTCTTGCAGGCATACATCTTGCCAGTGTTTTTCACTTGGGTGGCACAAACCTAGAGAAGCAAGATGCGCAAAGAAAGGCAATGAAGGAATTTTATACAAACAGATTGGAATATCAAGGGCAGCAATGGGCAGGGACTGGGGTATCACAGACACTTATTAGTAGCTGCTAATTTCCATAGCAGACCATATTAGCAAAGAAAATGAGGAAAAAACAAGCATACTATCTGTGATGTTCCAGACCAGCATATGGTGGACCTTATGCAAAGTTCTTGAGGACACCATTATTAGCAAATAAAATGAACAAGGACCCGTTCTCTGACCATGAGAATAAATGGCATATACAGCTTGCATCTGTAGAGCTAAACTCTCCTCTGAAAAACAGATAGGCTTATACTGGGTTTTGGGAACAGATCCTGACCTGTGCTGTTCCCTAAACTGCACATAGGAATTATTGGGTAGTATGTGAGCTTGCACAGGCTGAAGTAGTGCCAAGGAGCAAAGTAATAATTAGTAACATGGACAAGTCCTGCAAGCTTTTGTAAAGAAGCCTGCTTTTTTACCAACATAGATGCAGAATATAAAACTTTTAGAGTAGCTCTTCACTAACAGGTGTCTGGAGCCTACACCACAGTATAGATAAAAAAACAAACCTAATTTCTGGGAAACTGACGATCTGAAGAAGCAAGTCTTGCAAAGCCTTAGGCAGTTTAATCCATTGTCAAGTTCCTCTTTCAAATCCACTGTTGGTCTTGAAAGAGGAGGGATGACCCACATCCTTAAAAGTACAGCTCTTACCTCTCCAAAGCCACCTTTGCCAAGCACTCGGAACTCATAGAAGTATTTCTCAGTTACCGGCTGCTTCTCAAAAACCTTCCATTGGATGAATTTGTCATAGAAGGGGCTGGTCTGGAAGTCCTGGAAGGGCTTGTCTTTAAGGAAGACCTTTGTTTCCTCCTTGGCCAGCTGCATAACATTCTCATAGTCTTTTGTAGCAGCTGCCTGACATTTGCTAGCCAAGTCAGAGCTCATGAAAGCCAGATAGTTTTTGGAGCCTTCCTTAAGAAAATTAGTTACCATATTCTCCATGGTACTGCCCTTGACATTGTCCTCTGCCAACTCCCAGTTTGAGACCTCATCCAGGAAGTCCCTAGCTACCAAATACTCTGGCACTGTCTCTAAGAAGTCTCTAAAGAATTTCTTGCCAACGGGCTGCTGCTCGCAGATGCTCTCATAATCAGCAACGATGGACTGCCTGACCTCTCCGCACTGTTCAAGCTTGGGCAGCGAGAGGCTCTTACGCCTCTTTTGCATCTCCTTGGTGTCTCCATCTCCACTCTTCCTTGCCTGCAGATAGGCTGTGTTGGCAATCAGGTTGTCAAGCCCCCCCATGTCACACATCTTGGCAAGCTCCTGGGGTGGCAGAGCCTGGTTGAGGCAAAATGAGTAACTGGCGCAAGTGCTGTGCTGTAGCCGCCCTATACTTCTGCCTGCTAGTGGTGTGTGAGGGCTTCTGAAAAACAGCAGACAGACTAACTGCTTTTGCATTAAATACCTCTCAAGGATTTTCACTAAGTACCTTTAGGTATATGCACCATTTGTGGAAAGTGATTGGTAAGAGGTTTCTCTGTAAGGAGCTTTGAGTTTGCTATGTATAGCTGAGGGATGACACCCAGGGCAAACCTCGCTGGCAGCACGGAATCATGCGTTGCAGCTGGTGGTTTTCAGAATGGGTGCTGAGAAGCTTCAGAGGTTCCGAGACTCCCTCAGTATGCCATGTCCCTGGCTGCTGAGAACATGCACAGATTCCTGGCTGCAATACATGCACACTCCAAACTCCCTGGCACTCTGACCACAGTTAATAGGACAGTCTTGTGTTCCTCACTCGACACTGAGAACACCAGTGTACTAAGAATTACATAAGATGTGATCTGGTTTAATGAAAAGCTTTTATCACAGATCTGCCATGCCTGAAACAGAAGGTGACATAGATGAACATGAATCATTGAGCTTTAAATTAGCACATAATTCAATGCTTTGAGCATCTCCACTTCCAAAATTCAAGTTAAACTCAACATCAATGACTCTGAGCTCCACACTTTGTGCCATCCATGATGCCTCATGTGGCTCTGTCTGAGCGCATTACATACAGGGGCTAAGACCTGCTACTGACCTAAAAATAAATACCCCTACATACAAACCACCATAAGGTTCTGAGTTCATCTCCTACTCACAGAAAAAGGAAAAGCACTTCAAATGACCAGCCCAACCCTGTCAAGACACTTGCATATACTATTGTGGCCTGAGCTTATTTTGCCTGTGGAGCTGCAGGACAGCAAGTGGCAGGGTGAGAAGATGGCAATAGCTGGGGTGGCATCCGCAAATGCCAGAGCTTGTTATCATCAAGTGAAGGCAAATCCTACCTGACTTCACTCACTAGCTTCCTATCAGGAAGTCTATGCCATATTTTTTCCCCTAAATAATAAGCCCCCTTCTGCTGTGGGATCATGTGATTTAGCTGCTAAAACTTTCTTTCAGTATAAGGAAGGTATTAGGGGAACACAAAATGCAGTTCCATGATTCTAGCAGTAGCAATGGGGTCAAGCTGTACTCCCGAGGTCAAGGTCAAGTTTCCTGTTCACTTTTTTCACTCTTAGAGCAAGCTGAATCACAAACATTAGGAGTAACAACAGGAACCTCTCAGACTCCCTACAGTAAGTGCTAAGCCCTTCTTGGCTGCTTTTTGTTCCTCTACTACTATGTAGTAGTATCTTTTACATGATTAATTCTACCTGCATTGAATCAATTTGAAATACAATTCATGCTTATACTCTACAAAATTACATTAGTGTTTATCTAGCTGTGATTAAGAGTGCCATCCATTGCAAACTACTATGTGTGCACAAGAACATTGTGTACTCTGAAGCAAAATATTTGAAAGTCTTGCTTGTACAGCAATTGCTAATTCTGCCAGGTGAACGGACACATGGGGCAGGAGGTTACATAAAGGGCTAAATAATGCAGCTGGTGGAGTAAGCAAAACTGAAAAGAGTCAAAGGAAGAAATGCAGAATTCTGTTTTACTGCAAATGGTGCCCAGAACAACATACTCCTGTAGTACCCTGGGTACAGAAAGGCAAGAAAAGAGGTAATAAAAGCTTTAATTTCAGGTCCTAAAATTCAGCAGCGTCTTTTTTACATTTAGCAAGAATGCCACCACAGCTCAAACAGCAGCAGTATGAATGGATGGCAGTTGGGGACCTCAGGGGGAACTCAAGCTTACACTGGCTATCGATATATTAATGTCTAAAGTAAATCAAGAAAATACCTAATGTTTATGGTATCTGGGTAAGACAGACACATTCACAGCTCCAAAAAATCATTCTGCTCTGTAAATCAGAATTTTTCCCAGTGCCTACACAACATGAACTTTCTCTAAAAGAACATAACTTCATAAAAAGCAAAGTGAAATAGTATGATCTTTGGACAGATATTCATTACTCCAGTCACTTTTGAGGGAAGACTCTGGCTAGATTTGCTGAATTATCCAAACCTGACCAGCATTTATTAAATAGTGGAGAAAAGTAGAACAGCATTAATCTGCTGGTAATGGCCATTTAAGTTAGTATAACCTACTCATAGAACACTATGTTTGGGTGAGAAGCAAAACTGATTTATTTTGCATGTACAACTGAACAAATTCAAGTCTAAGAATGGGCACTCAGAACTATGCTAATGGAATATCAAGGTATGATTTGAAACAGAAGATTTCTCCTATGGAAAGCTCACAAAAAGACTTGGACGTAAACTAATCTTCTCTAAATCACAGAAAAAAAATATGCAGGACTTAAAATTCAGTACCTGGTGTTCTAGGTGAACCTATAATTACTGATCAACAAGTTACTTAAAATACACAAATAGAAACACACAAATATCAGCTGCTTTGATTTTAACATTAACTTTCCTAAACCCTCATCTGTTTTAACACCTGTTTGAGCTGACACTTTGGAAAACTCTTCTGCAATTTTAATTCTCAGCTACTCTTGTCATGAATGTGACATGAACTGAAAGCAGGGTGAAAATTACTTGGGCACTTTCTATATTCACCTTTAAACCTGAGTAAAACAAAGCCCTCTGACGGGACTAGATGGAATTAATGGAGGTTAGAGGATGGAGCCTAGAACCAAATTCCAGCAGAGAAAACAGGTGGTAGGTAAGATATAGTTTAACTTTGACAGCTAAAAATTATTTCCACATCCAACCAGATTTTCTTTCGCAATCATTTTACGAAGAATCCTTTTACACAAACAGAGATATTCCACAACAATATAAGTGCTACAGCCACTTAATTACTCCTGCTTTGTATTTGTCTTCCATTTTAAGACACACATCATCAATAACAACCAATGTGATGCACTGTAACAGTGACACAGAGGACTTTTTTAATCTCAGCGTGTACTGAGACAAAAGCTATATTTAAAAAAATTAACACATTTTAGGAACAAGATTACAAGTATTGAAAACAGTAAATTCTGCATATATGCTTGATGACACAAAGATTGCCACTGGAACTACTTTAATACAGTTAAGATAAATCTCTTTAAATGTACTTAAACAGAAGTAGTTAGAAATACATTTGCTCAGAAACACATTAATCTAACCATTTAAGATGATAATTTTGAAGTAAACAATGATATGCATATAATATTGCTTCAATTTTACCCAGGTTTATTAACCATTTTATTAAGCCTGAATTTGTTACAGACTTCACCAGTAATTCAACTGATTACATACAGAAAAAAATTCCACCACAGCACTTGTTCAGGTTAATAGTAAATACTTTTGACATTTAGGGAGGCAAACACTTAAATATTTGTAATGAAAAAAAAAAACCAAACTTGATTCATATAAAAAAGATGACATATTGAGGATTTCCACAGCAATGACACAATGCTTTTCCCACTTCCAAAACACTGTAACCAACAAACTCATGATAAAGGAATTTATATTGACTGAATTTTAATGGAACCACAATTTATAATTTTTCTCTAGATTTAGGTAGCACTTGCTTTCCTTGGAATATTTAAATTATCAGTTCTGTTTACTTTCTATATTAGTCAGCTAACCAGCAAGACTGTTTATGCCCCTGGTTAACCGATATCAAATACATGTCTTTGTGCCAAAAGTCTCTGGATTAAAAATGCATGTCTCCATGATCTTTAACAGAAACATAAATAAAAAAATTATTAATGGGCTCACATTTTAATATGACAGTTGTAGAAATCATGTATAGAGTATTATACAGCAACAGACTTAGAGATACAACAAACCAAAATTTTACAAAGTCATAAAGAAAACCTATATTACAAATATTTAGTATCATGTGATGAAAAAAGCACATAGCAAATGATTTACACACCATTCATTTTAATTAAAAAACAGCTAAAAAAATCAACAACTGTGGGGTTTTATACTATATTACTTGGAAACCAATTTCTTTATTCTGACAGTAAATTCTGCAAATCAACTTTTCAAACTAATTTACCTATCCAAAAACATTAAATAATCTGTATTTAGTGTATAATCTGTACCACCACATTACTATGCTCTGATACAGTTAACACCCAAATTGTAACAGATACGTTTGTTAATGTAGTGTCTCTCTTTTCAGCTGTGGAAATATCTGCATAAGACTGACCACTGCCTCCTCGTACAGCAAAAAGCATACAACAAAACCACATGGATCTTTCAGCAGACAAACTAAATAAATCATGCCATGATTGACAAGTTCCATTCTTTCATATGAGTATATGGCATAAGACATACACTATTTCAACAAATTAAAGAGAAGAAAAAACTTCCAGTCTTTTTATTTGCCTATTCTCTGGACTACCCAGTCCTGCTGGCAGAGAGGACAGCGATTATTCTGTTTCACCCACAAGGACATGCAGCAGTTGTGGAAGGAATGATTGCATTCTCCCCAAACCACTGAAAAAGAAGAAAGAACACGTTCCAGTCACACTTTGCCCAATCAACACCCACAGCAAAATCCAAACTATCACCCTCAGGTGCTTGTATCTACTGCAAGCTTCAGAGACAAAACAGGTCACCACCGATTTATCCACTGAGATTGGATTATTATGGAAATTCTGACAAAAGTCAGTGTGGTGTCATCAATCTTTTTACTTATTTCCAATTATGGAAAAAGGAAATGTATGAATTCTCATCTACTTGTTAAAAAGGGGCAGAGTTTTGTGAATATACAAGCACATTTATCAGCTCTGTCAAGGAAACAGGTGCAACGAAGTTCTTCACTTTACCTTCCCCAGTACCCAAATATAGCTAATGCACTATATCTATCAGATGAGCATTTCACCAAATTCTCTCCTGAAACGCAGTGTTTGAACTTAAATGTACAATGGCAATGAGGCACACGTGCTGCAGTCAAGCAAGCCAAGGGGTTGAAGCCCCAGCAGTATGGAGAGTGAGGGGTGAAATATCAACATGGGGAGGCCTGGCAGATTGCTTGTATCACACTCCCACAAACGTGCCAAGGCAGTGCCATGCGCTCACAATGGTGGAAGCTACCACTGGATGGCTGGAAATGTACCCAGTGCCCCCTGCCACTGCCCCGAGCAGTATGCTGGGCCTTGAAAAGCAAGTCTTTTGCTGACACATTACTCCAGAAAGAATTGAGCCAGACAATGGAAGCTTTTGCTCTAGGACCTGCAGATACTACATGGGAGATGATGAAAGATGGTTAAATCCAGTGTATACCTCAGGGGAATTTAACTCTGGATGAGAATAGTCCATTTAAAGCTGTGTAATGTGAACTGCATAGTACTAACAGTGGTCAGTAAGTATCTTTCAGTCTAACATAGTAACAGCAACACAGTACATAGCCTCAAAATGCAGTCTTAGACCACAGTTATTCACAGGCTACAACTGTTTCAGCACAACAAAAAGGGTTGTCTACTGTCCATCTACTCCTGAACAGTATTAGTTACTTAGCTTTTCTTCCCTTATTAGTTCACACTTTCCTTGGTGGAATACAAAGGCACCAATCAAAAGACTGTTTTAAATTATGATTTTTTTTAACTCTATCTCAAATGGGACACTTAGCAAGCCAATTAAGGTATCTGGAGCAAGAAAATCCTGTTCTCATTAAAACATCAAAAACAACAGTGAATTAAGTTTGAGACAATATACTTTAAAATAGAGAGAACAAGGGCATGGGAAGGATTACCACTGGTTTAAAAGTTGACTTAAAGGTTTAAAGCAAACTCTTTGAGACCATTTTCACTATTTCCCATTTAAACAGATCAGGATTAAGATTTGCTTTTGCATACATTGGTATGCAACTGAAAATATCTTTATATTTAAACAGTATTACAGCAAACTCAAGTGATTCCACCTTTTCAAACAAAAAATGAACAAACAAGCAATTGCTTCCACTATGTCCGAATTAAGACTGGGAAAAAAACCACCTTGTTACCCAGACACATTTATTTAAGAGCAGAGGATTTTAATTGGTACTACCACGGTGTTTTCTGGCATTGACCTCAGAAGAAAAAAGTAGCCCCACTTCAAAAGTGTACATTATCATCCCCTCAGGGTAAGTGAAACTTAAACCTCTTTGTTGCCTATGTGTTGACTGCAAATTTAAAGCTGTTTTGTTCTACAGTATGTTCGAAGTGAAAACTAATTTTATTAGTGCTCAAAAATAATTTGTTACTAATGTAAAAAGATGACACAATGTAGAACAAAACATCAGTTTACTTCTGAGTGTTAATAAAATCTGTATTCCCTTCAAACTTTAAAATGCACCCTACTGAGAGAAGCTTCAATTGAAAAACAAGCGAATGAAATCACCACATACCAACACAATCTTCTTGTTTGTTTTCAGCTTGACATCTAAGACAGGCATCTAAAAGTAAACAAGAACAAGACTCAATTTGATTTGCAGGATTCCATCTTAAGAATAGGCTTGTCAGAGGAAAATACAAACTCTAAACCCAATTTATGAAGGTAAAATCTCAAGTTTTGATGTCTAGTTCAGCCCTTTAATTTTAAATAATTCCTCCTTAGAATTTTGAAACAGTACACATGACAATGAAATATATATCTGAAAGATATCAGGACAACTATAAACTGTCCAAAAGGTTTTGTTTATTTTCCATTGCTTTGGTATTTTCAAAAAAAGCCTTCTCCATTTTGTAGATAAAACAATCAGCACACTTGTGCCAAGGCACTCAGGCATAATAAGACCAGAGCAAACATAAAGCCAAACCCTAATTACAGGACTGTTTTTCAGTTGTCAGCATCTCCTTTTAAGGAAATCATTCACAATTTTCATTCTTTCAGGCTGTGCATCTCTCACCATGACACCTACCTCCTACTACTATTTATATAGTTTTCCTTAATAAGTACCTGCATGTAATTTTCACAAGTCACATATACATACAAACTTACTGGTCAAGTTCACGATACGAGTGTTTATCTCATGATAAACACAAAACAATATCTTAGTAAAAATATTCACCATCTTTATGCACTCCAGTCTGTGGCTATAGGACTGGATGGCATGTTAAGGACCCAGTAAGATACAGAAGAGCCAAGGTCCAGGCTCAGTACTGTGGCACACACGTAGAGTGGAAGATGCCTTTGTGTCTCCTTCACCCTGACACGGGCTGCTGTACGCGTACGCACGTGTACCGCACACGACACTAAGTCTTCAGCTAGTATGAGAGCAAAGACATCTTCACCTCCCCCAAAGAACAGGTAATAGATTAAACAAAATTGTCCCAAGAGTTGGATTGGCCTGTATGTCACTAGTTGGACCACAATTTCCTAGAAGACAGAACATCATGTGCTAAGGAATGTAGATGTGAGCAGTTTTGGTTTCTCTGACAGCCGTGGTCAGTACTTCGATTTTAAATTCAACTGCCCAGACATTCCTCATTTTCTCAGGTAATAAAGAACAAAAAGGACAGAAACTCTAAAATAGCTTCTGTTTCCTCACCTAGAGAAAAGCAAGACAGTAAATAACATTTCCTGTTGTCTGCTCCTATAATTTTTATTTCCACAGCACTTAAGGGTCAAGCTTCAGGGAAGAAAAGTGATCTGGGGTCACCTCGATCTGCAGGGCAGTAAGCTGTGCCAGACTCATAGCCACTCTAAAAGTAGCTTTCCACTCCAAGCTCTAGGTTTGCAGTTTCAGATGGAGAAGCAGCACAGAGAGGCGAGGACAGAAATCACTGCACCCACAGCCCAAAGGGTGTCAGTCTGAAAGGCTGAGCAGGTTTAAGTCTGTACTAATGCAATCCTACCCTTCCCAGCTAACAGCTGCATTTTTGCTTCTTTGCCTTGTGGTCCTGTGATCCTCGAAGGCCATGTTGGTTCAAGGAGTTAAACCAGTAGGAAATTGTGGCAGCTAACACCTTCCTCCCTCACAAAAATCAAACACAAACTTTCAAAAAGTGCCAGCTGAAGTCTGGCACTGCCTCCAACCTAAGGTTACTGCAGATGCAGGAACCACAGCAGGTCTGGCAAGGTCGATGTGAAATAGCTACACTGAAGTCAGTGATGAAGTTTCATGTTCTAACACTGTGGTTTGTTCTCAAAAAATGCTTACATTTTTTGGCTGGTTTCAGATGAAAAGTACTCCCCTGGTCTAGTTACGAAGAATTATAGATGAACTTTAAAGAAAAAACCCAAACTTTTATAAAATCTCTGAGTGAGATTTTAAGACTTATTTTATAGAACCCTTTAACAGGTTTGCTAGAACAGGGGAAATACATTCTTAAAATTATGGCTTACATGGAAGATGAAGCCAATTCCATTATTCTCAGGGTGTTCTTTGTTCACCATATAAAAGCAGTCTTCATTCAACACATGTTTATGCAAAAGGTGAATCTTCCACTGCTTCAGTCTGGGCTGCATCTTTTTCTGCCTAGTACAACTTTTTGCCCTTTCTGTTCTACAGAACATTCTCAATAAAAACATGTATATGAAATGACAGTATTGCCTAATTTGTTCATGTCTGTTAAGCTAAAAGCTGACTAGATTTGCAGTATCCTGGTTCTTGGGCCTACAAAAGCAAGGTGCCCAGGAGGAAATCTTGCACCATTTCTTCTACCAGACTGTACCAAGCCCAACTGCAAGGGCAGTTAGGCCTAGGATGACAGCACAATAGTAAAATCTGGATGTAGATATACAATAAAGGGAGAATTTACAGCATTTTCAAAGATCCAAGATAAGAACCATATTTGTAATATATGTCAGAAAACACTAATGTCAGTTCAATGAGGCTGCTTTCAAGAGATTCTCCAGATTTCAAAACCAGATAATCTAGCCCCTTACTTTCAACGGATATTTCAGTACGTTCACCTGTGTTACATAATCAGAAGGCTTAGGTCGAAGCGTTAGACTCTGGAATAACAGATTTGGAACGTTATTTTATATTTGTATCCAAAACTGCTTCTTAAAAAAAAAAAACACAACAATCCACGAGCAGCAGCACCACACACCCAGGACTCTGGTCTGCTCGGCTGTAGCTCAGCGCTTGCATAGTTTGCCAGTAAGACAAAAGCCACCCCCGGCACCAGGCGCCTTAGCGGAGGGCAGGAGGGTGGGGCGGCAGCCCGCCCCCGG